GGGCGTATAATTTCACCCAGATAACGCTTCGCTGATCACAGATCTGAACGAATTTCACTTTCCAAGTGGGATCAGACATGGTCTTGTGTCGGAAACGATTCGCGATTACCCGTTACGCGAAAGTGTTTGATTTATGTCATATTTCACGGACAAGGCTCGCTCCGGTCACGGTGCATTATTGGTAGAATTAAAGTAAAGTCAAGGTCGAGAAATTAAGACCTGTTCGCGAGATAAATCTTAAAGCGTACAAATGAATCTGCCAATGTGCTTTTATCGGACCGTATATCAATTAAGGCAGGTGTTATGTGTTTCGGAATATACTTGACCGAATTAAATTTTGATTTTATTCTTGATTTAAGTTTTAACTTTATGTTAAATTTTAGTTAAATTTACTCGGTTTACTATTCACGATTAATTAATACACGGTGTTTTGATATAATCAAATTTATGGACTCATTAAAGCGACGTAAATCTTCCGGAGTTCCCGCGCGAGACGTGAGTTGGTAACTACATGACAGTTCTGTCAGAATGTCGCTGTTTTATGAGCTGCGAGAAATTTTAATTGCAAAGGATCGTCGCATCTGCATTCATCGATTAATTAACAATTCAACTTCGTTTCTGTCGTTGCTGTTAATTTATGGTTTGTTAGTATATAGCGTGATAGGCGTGACCGAAGAGGGCAGACATGCTGGAGATTTTTCGGAGATAATCGAAGATTTTTATGAGAAAGATTTTACATGGCTCATCATCCAACCGATCGGACAATATTTTTAGCCATTCGGCTTCGATTCAAATATAATAAATTACAAAAAATAGACGTATTCTCCGAAGAGAAATGTGAAAAAATCGAACACTTTATTCGCCTTGGCGTCTAATACGCACTGTAAACTTGCTTGATAATCGCGCGCGATATATACCTGCTCCCAAGTACTTGCACGAGTACTTTCACTCTTCGGATCTTACAAACGAGTCTTACGAATCCGTTAACCGGAGCTTTTCCTCAAGTTTAACTCGCGTTATTATATGCTAATGCAACCGGGCCTCTGTGAGAACTCGCTCGAGGCTTTTGCCAGCCCGCTGCGGGCGAAAGCTAGGCTCTCTCGAAAGCGATTTTAATGCCCTCTCCCTTGACAGGAGTAAAAAAGAGAGAAATGCCATTTGTAATTAAGGTCGTGATAATGAGGAAGGCAATATTACTTGCGAAGTTCATACGCATCTTCGCGACCGATTTCGACATTGTCTCGGCGCAATAATGTCTTACTTTTACTTTTTATTGAATGGCTGCACTTTCGCTGCATTGCACTGTCACGGAATGAGTGGCAAAACTTTTGGCGAAAAGCGCAGAATGTTTCACATTATGCGCGTTTTCTTTTAACTGTAAATTCTTTGAACAATTTATAAGCTTTCATTGACAGGTGTATCGAAAGAACTCATTATTTATCGTAAATTCGATTTTTAATATTATATACTTTTGCAATTGATAAATTAGAATGTTATTAAAATAAAAGTCACGCTAAATTAAAAGGATATTATATTACAGGAAAATCACCGATACACACTGGTATAGGTCTCCTAAAACGACACCCCCTTATTTTTTAGAAACTAACTATTGCACTTTATTAATACTAATAAAATCATGATCTGTTTAGCTAATTAAAAAGAAGTACAAACTCATAATTCATATATTTGTGGCTTGATTCTATACCAAATCAGCTAAAAACGAATTCTACGAATGCAAAAATAAAATTCTTGCAATTTTCTTTTGCAAATTGCGTAGTTTAAATAACAGTGGCTATATTATTGATAACATTACGTCGTTTTAAATGTTTGTAGTTTCCTAAATTAGTTTTATTTGTATTATTTTTTTCTCTTAGTTTTTTATAATATAATTTTAAATTAAAAATTGGAGTGCAAATCGCCACCTATCTATAAAACAGACCATAAACTAACGTAATTCTTATAATGTTGCTTTATAGTGTCAAATAGCTCTATTGGAGCTGAAGGTATGCAATCGTGCATATATGGAAAAACTGTTGCATTACATATTTGCATTTTGCAGAAAGTAAATATGCGTATAATTCAATAAAAATATTTTATAACAAAGTAAAAAAATTCTGAAAAATCTGATATATAATACATTCACTTATAGATACTTTATACAGATAATTTCTGTAAAAGAAAAAGAATAGGAATCGTAGCATTACTACTATCACCGACGAGACATTATTAAAGACCGTCAACCCTGGGCAAATTTTCGGCGGTATAAAAAGGGCCCGGAGGTAATTCAAGAACGCTGACATTACCGACAATTGATATAAATTTGCTATTATTAATATAAATATTTAGCTCATGCATTATTAAATTCATGATTTTTTATTACATAAATATCCCATAAATAAATATACATACTTGTAAAGCTGTAATATCCTATATATTGCAAAAAAATCACAATTTTTTCTCTGCAATTATCATCTTTATTGATAATCAAACTTTGATGATAACACTGAAATCTCAATTTTAAAGAAAAATCGAGTATTATTGAGTTCTAAATGCATAAATACATCTACTAAACTAATAAATCATAAAATTAGTACAATATTATCAGTTTTTAACTCTTAATCACTTCAATATTTACAAGGACGTGAACTCCCGTAAGGATGTCGGTCTTTAATAGTATCTCGTCGGTGCTACTACCTACTATGTCAGTTTTAAAATCTATTTTGTCAGATACTCATTTTTGCTTATCTTACGAAAAAATTAATTATTGCAAAATTGCAAACAGTATTATAAAAACTGCTTATACTATAAAAGACACTTTTTAGTACTTATGTTTGTACTTATGTTTTTAAAGTTTTATTTTTACCTTTTGTTTAAGAAATATTGTCTAAAAACGAAGTGTCGATATCGTTGACTTTCTTCTATTAATTACTTTTTTTTGTTTTTAATGATTTACGAATGAGCCTTAATTTTCAAGAGATTCTTTATTCTCACAATGCTGATTTAAAATAGCTACTCCGTATAATTATATTATATAAATAGCTCTTGAGTATTAGAAATTTAAGAGAGTTCCGTTTCGCTTGTAATTTCGCAATAATTTCGGGCGATCTGCAAAATCATAGCCGCCGAAAGATGAAAGTGTGGCCGATTGATCGATTACTCTCGGGTCTGAATCGAAAGTACTTTTGGTGTCTCTCAATATCCCTTTCGGGTTTCTATACGTCCTCATTAAACTGCCTTGGAAGATTTACCAGCCATGTATTATTTCCGGCCGGTATCTTCCCTACTACTCAGATTGCAGCCTCCTTTTTTTTGCAGCCTCACGTAGCTCGCCCCCATAGCACGTTGTTGTAGCACGATCGTGGAGAAAGTAAAGGTCATGAGCTCGTCTCGCGACCCTGAAGACCCTGAGAGACATGCTTGCTCACTTGATTCTCCTCTTATCCTTAGAAAGCATCATGTCTCCCCTCACTCTTCCGCCTCGTCATCCTTCTGATTCCCTTCTACGTGTTACATAGCGCATCTTCGTATGAAAGCCACCGTACTTTCTTATAAGCTAATGTGAATTAATGGCTTCACGGACGAGCCTGAATCGTATTCACGTACAATATCTTAATAAATATTGCGGAAGACACAAGTAGACACTTTCGAACGCATGATTATTGCGATTAGTGATATTTAAAAACTACAGTTATGATTCAAAATCTTATATCTCAGTTTTTACGCAAATTTTTTTTTCAGAGATTTTATGCTTTAATACAAACCACTAAATGATATTAATTATTTACATTTATTTTTGTTTACAAAGAAATAATTTTGCTACTTATAACCGTAAACAAATCTTACCTGAAGTCAAAATTTTTATTTTTTTATTTCATGGCGATTATACATACTTTTGATTAAGTATTATATTAAGACCCCTAGTGACCCCTAGTGGTCACTAGGGGTCAAAGGGACCTTAAAAAGATGTGAGGTTTTATATTTCTAAGGTCTTTTTTTAAAATGGGGACTTAAACCACCATTTATCTCCGAAGTTTAAAATCTCTTTTTTCACTTAGAGACCAGATATTGTTCCTTCAGTCAATTTTTACGATTGTTAAAAATATTATCATTTATTTTTTTAAATATATATTAAAATTAGAAACTTTAAAAAGCCACTACATTTCTATATTCTGCAATGTTTAAAGTACGTTGAGTAATTTTTGTGATTTTAAAGAATAAAAGCTGTAAATATAGCAATCAATTAAAATGTCGGGGTCATTTTGCCCCCTTAATAACCAGAATAAGCAACATAAAATTCTCAAGAGGTGTGACCACGAAGGAATGTAAAGAAATAAAACTTTACAAAACTTTTGTTAAAGCATTTTTTACATAAAAAGAAAAACTTGAATTTTATTTTAAGTAATGTTAAATAAAAATAAATGTTTACATTCCTAAACGCACAAAATATACGCATTTAAATGTAATATGAATTCTTTTTTCTCAAAAATAATTATCTAAGTATGAAAAAAATGAAATTAATTCGTGATATAGTATAAAATCATATTTATTAACATATAAAAAAATATTAACATGCACGCATCCCAATAATCAAACGATATTTACAAAGTAAGATATTAATTACATAAAATAATAATACGCACGTAGCCATTCTAAGACTATGGATTATTCACACCGAAAAAAGATAAACAAAGTAGGACTTTTCTTGCCTGTGTGTATAATTTTCACCATCAGAGATTCAAAAATTACTAAGTCAAAGCAGTTTCTTATATGTATAAACAGTAGAAAGTTACTAAACAGTTGATATAAATATCCAGCATTGATTCCAGATAGCCTTTTAATACTTAGACGAATCGAATTCTTAATTCTATTGAGCCATCATTTACATTTTATTGTTTAATTGATATAAATACATACATTAAACAGTTTTAAGAAATAGATGTTTTTTTTCTAATAAATAGGTTATAACATTATTTTTCGACAAATAATTGACAAACGTGATATTTTTCTTGGCAATGATTTGCTTTAAAGTTTAACAAGTCGTGTAATCTCTGGAAAGATGCGCTATGGTTATAAATTTATTTGCTAAAGATCAGTTATTAGTACACACCTTTCTCAGGAGATATATGGTAAAATGTAGATAATGATATTTTTACATCCGTTATGATTATATCTCGTTGATCGATATTTCGGTTCCACTTGCGACGAACTGAGCGACTTTGGTTATCACGCAACTCAGTCGCATTGTCGCCAAGATGATCAATTGAAAATTTTCATTATCCACTTTCGTACATATCTCATAGTCGCGATGCTTTCTAACTGTTAGTTGCAGGCTTTCCTCTTCTTCGTGCGGTACACGTTTAGTCGGTCTTCCCTTTTCTCCTCTCGAGAGACATCTATATCTATCGGCGAGCAATCCATTATCACAAAGAATTATAAATTCGACCGACTTTCTTGATGCGATTCTCTAACAATTTTCCGAGTTGACCTTTCGATCTTCAGATGTCACGAGTATGCGCAGAAGAAAGATCGAACCGGCCAAGCGTGACCCTCGACGACGATCTACTTGTAACCGTGATGACCGTCGTCGTGGTGAGATTCGATGGGAACCCAAACTTTCTCCCAGACGGGCTTCCAGATTTTCTTCCAAGCCGGTACCTGCACATCCTTCCAAACCGGAACCCACTTGCTTTTCCATTCATCTTTCCACACCTGTTTCTTCTGCGTGACCCAAATCTGCTTCTTTTCAGGCACCCATACTTGCACCGATTCTTCCTGCCAGATTAGCTTCTTGTCTGACACCCAGATTTGCTTCTTTTCCGTCTTCCAAATTTGTTTCCATTCGGCCTTCCATTCTAATTTCTTGTCGCTTACCCAGATTTGTTTTTTTTCTGTTCTCCAAACCTTCTTCCAAACCGGCTTCCATATTAGTTTCTTCTTCCAGAGATCGTGGCTGGTATACTGCCAACCATGATGATCTTTGCCCACGGGGTGTTCTCCCGGTATGCCAATTTTAACCCATTCTGGCACCCAGACTTTCTTCCAGTCGGGTACTTGGACTTCTTTCCACACAGGAACTTGGACTTCCTTCCAAATGGGCTTCCATACCTTCTTCCAAGCTGGTACTTGGACCTCCTTCCAAGCCGGTACTTGAATCTCCTTCCAAACAGGCTTCTGAACCTTTTTCCAGGCAGGTACTTTGATCTCCTTCCACGCAGGTACTTGAATCTCCTTCCAAACCGGCACCTGTACCTTCTTCCACTCCTGCTTCCAGATCATCTTCGATTCTGTTTTCCAAATCTGCTTCCATTCGGGCTTCCATACCAACTTCTTTTTCCACACGCCCTTCGGTCCGTGATCGTGCGAGGGAGGTCCATAGGAATCGGAAGATGATGACGGCGGTCCGTAAGAATCGGAAATCGATCCAAAGCCGCCTCCGTGACCTCCACCTCCGCCGTAACCGCTGTCACCACCGCCGTGACCGCCACCACCGTCGTGACCGCCACCTCCGCCGTGACCGCCACCGCCGCCGTAACCGCCACCACCGCCATAACCGCCGCCTCCGCCTCCGCCTCCGCCTCCGTGATGGTCATCGAATGATCCTCCAATGGAACCGTGATCGTCACCGAAAGATCCGTGACCACCGCCGAAGGATCCTCCACCGTGACCGCCGCCGAAGGATCCTCCACCATGATCACCACCGCCTAGATCATATGATCCACCGTGATTGTTACCGAAGGATCCGTGATCGCCTGATGGCGCCCCGTAGGATGACGAGGGTCCAGATGGTGCGCCATAAGATGACGGTGGTGGCGGAGGCGCACCATAAGAATCAGAGGGTGGGCCGTAGGAATTTGAAGGTGGTGGACCATAAGAATCAGATGGTCCTACGTCCGGTACTCCGTAGGACGATGCTGGTGGTGCACCATACTGTGAGCTCACGGGAGGCCTACGGGAGAATTTCTTCTACTAGAATGACGTCATATATATATATACCGTAATATAATAAAAACTTCAACACTTCTAACTGCATTTAATATTGCTGGACTTTGTGTATATAAATAGAAATATTTTTAGATAATTAATACATAAAGCCTTAAATGTATTTTTTAATATGTTATTCGTATATTTATTTACTCAACAATTTATATACTCACTCTCTCTTTGTTCTAATCGGGTCTCCAAGTGCGGAGATAACAAAGAGGCCGTATAATATTGTCTGAAAGAATTTTTTTCATTAGTTTTGTAAATAAATATCTGTAAAAGTAAACAGTATTAAGAATCTTCATTTTAAACCGTATATGTGAGAAACACAATCAATACTAGAAAAATGCCTATTACAGTCGAAGCTGGATCTTCATTGCTTTTTAAAATAATTCAATCTTGAATTATTTTGACTAATATACACTATATATGTACTTGCATATATACTGTAAAAGTAATTCAATTAACGTTTAATAACACTAATAATGACAATAGAAACGCTAATAACGACGATCTTTGTATAAAGATGAAGAATCGGAGAAAACATAAAGACTTTCACAAAAAAATTACTACTTTGTAGAAAGAATATATTGTAGTTTTCTTCGCAAAATTAATATAGAGGTAAATGAACGATAAACGTCTACTCGTAAAAGAGCAAAGATACGCTAATTGTGATCGACCGTGCGAAAGAAAGAGTATCTCGCCGTCGGGTAATTAGTCTTATTTCTCTTAAGCTCGTCACGATGGTATAATTATCTCATCCTCGCAATCGTCCGCCATCAATTTCCCGCCAGTTTTTGTAGTCTTTCATAGTGAGAGACGGAAATCCTGTGGATGGATTTCTACGTGCTCGTCCATGCTCACGAGCGCGTCTCTCAAAAATGAAAGTGTCCGCCGTGTGAATGCGTGGCCGACGTAAACACCAGCTCGAATTGGGTCGACCACCCATCCTCCCCACCTGTCTTTGCATTTCCAGAACGGGCCACCAGGACTGTAAAAACCTGTACCAACGGTTAAATTAAAGGAAAGTGGGCTTCGAGATTCTTCTTTTTTTTTTTCTCGAAGTATTACCCTTAGGCGATACCTGTCACGGTATCCTGCGGCAATGATATCGAGTATTTTAGGCGTCCCACTTATCTCTTTCTCCCCCCCCCCCCCCCCCCCCTCTCTCTCTCTCTTACAAGAATTATTCCCCGGAACCGTTTGACTATTTATGCATACTTAGATATCCGAAATAGTCTAACTGTACTATATGTATACCACCTTTCATCTACAAATTTCTCAGTCCTCATTTGGAATTGATAAATCTTTCCTCAATAAAGATACCGATACTTCTTAAACTGTAAACGTTTGAATACGAGGAACTTAATTATTATAACATAATTATTATAATACACTCGGAAATACAACTATTATAAAATAAAAAAATTCTTTTTTAAATTAAATTATTAAGCAAAATATACTAATTGGAACAAAATCCTAACTCACGAATTAATTGCGAAGATATCACTTAAATACCGAAAAGTTTACAACTGATGATGTGACTTCTCGACACCCTTGCTAGGAAAAGACCGGTTCCCTATGTAAGTCAAAGAATTCGCAAGTGAAAGATGACTCGCTAATAGTAAGTCATAGGATATCTTACGTAAAGTCGTGATTACTAGAATAATTGAATATACTTGATGGATATTTGATTCGATATGAAGTAATATCTTAAATAATAGCTGTTGGATAGAATAATTAGATATTAAGTGATAATTCAGATATATTGAGATGCTCAAATATCTTTGGATCTAAACATTTAAGTATTTAAACAACTTTTTATTAGAAAGAATCTCAATCAGTATCTAAGTATTTATTGAAAAATCTGTCGCGCGGCATGAAATGTCGCGAAGTGAAAAAACTGCGAGCTCCTACTACTTTTTATTTTGTTTGTGCCGGATATTGAGATGCTCAAATATCTTTGGATCTAAACATTTAAGTATTTAAACAACTTTCGTAACGCGTTTCAGCAGAAATTTTAGTAATTACGTGTTATTGTATACTGATCAAACACCATAGATTCACCTTTTCTCAGATTAACATAACAATAATAATTGTTTTCTATTATCTACACATTAATAATAACCTTGGCTTACTTTCAATTCAATCCAACTTTACACGATTACTTTATATACCTATATATTATCTTATTCTGTGTTGACATTGACATGTGAAATTACATGCTGATTAACACATTTTATCTCTATCGTCTTTATGTAGTCAGTACAAATTATAGCTATATTTCCGCTTGTCTACGAGAGAAATCAGATAAACATTATCTGTATATCGCTGCTCTAATTAAATACTTTTGTATGTATATCTTTAAATGACAACATAAAGATAACAAAATAAAGAACAAATTTTAGCTTTACTTTTTAAATAAGATATAATTTCAGTGATGAAAATAAAAATGTCATTTTTTAAAAGAACATTATTATTATCATTATATTATTAGAAGAATAAAATTTTGCATGAATGTCCAAGATAAAATATTTCCGAATCTTGTGAGATAAGATATTGTAATAAGGCAACGATATATATGAAGGAACTTCGAACTAATGAAAGAAACAAATTAAAAAGATGAGAATAGAGCATTCCAGATAGAATATCTCTGACATTGACTTGGTTACTCGACTTTGTAACGTTGCATCGGTGATCCTATTGAATTTCGCGACATTCGACGCAGATCGTATATAGATCGTATAGTCCCAGTGTGCGGCTCCTATTTACACAACTTTCCATTCCGCGCGGAGTGAAGAGTGATAAGAGTGCCCACTTATAGCAATTGCCATTGGAAAATGGCAGTGATTTACCGGCTCGTTTGTAACCATTTACGTAAACTTAGCCGTGCTACTGTCTCGATGGCTTTAAGATCGTCGTATCCAATATGCTTTCTGTACTCTCTCGGCATTGGCATAAAAATAAATTACCACGTGGGGCATTATCAGTAAAATCGCTTCCACGAAATGCAGAAAGTTTTGCAGTATTCTACGATAGTGACCCGATACCGCAAATGTAGGTGAGTTGGGACAGTGCAAGTAACTCGAGATAGCACGCACGCGTTTGTTAAATTTAATCGTGGTATCTATCCATGAGTCTCTCTAAAAAAAGTTTCTAAAGAAAATTTAAATTTTAAATTTTCTTCCAAGTCACCTACATTTACAGTATTAGCTTCACGATGTAACTTTACTTGTAATGCAATATCGCTTACTTTTTAATAGTTCTAATATATTGTATATGTGTTCCCCTTATTAGCCTAATGTTAAAGTATTCAAATAAAAAGCTATTTGAAATATTGTACATTATTTGGTATACATAAGTATATATTAAGAAAAGTAAATTTACTTCAGTAACTTGTTTTAGAAGAATATTATAATACAGATATAAGCATAAAAAAATGTGGGAATCTAATAAAATCTTTTGACTTGTAACGAATTTGGTTAAACGCACTAGTGCGTACTGATGTACATTATAATCATTAATTAAACTGATTGTGAGTATAATGCAATTTTGAATTATAAGATACATATTTTATCTAACAGCACAATAAGACATATTGAATATTTCACGGTTTAATCGGTTTCTGTGTTTACAATAAACTCATATCTCTACATTAATTTGTGTACGATGGGTGTAATCAGTGCATTAGTGCCCATTAAATGTGGCCAATCGCTATTAATCAAAGATCTTAGATTATAATTTGCGATACGTATCCTAAATGTGGATACTACGATTCCACATTTCACTGAAGCTGATGCTAAAGAGATAACCGCGTCGCGCGACACGGTGTCATTAACCGCAAATCTAGAATAATCTGTGATAATCTCGCGAACGATATTACCGATAATGCCGTCACTTTCCGTCCGAAAAATATATCTCACATATATCACAGACGCACTGACACATGATTAAGATGCGAAGAATGAAAGCACGAGACAATGAGCGGCGATGAACACTGACCAGAATTAATCGCATTCTTTCGACCAGGGTGGCCCACCGTGTGAAAAGGAGATGGCAACGACCACCGTCTTTTTTTACGGTTCGTTTTTACTCTTCTGACGGATTCATCGTGACATACGTGGCTTTTATAGCGAATGTTCCTCTGCCTAGACGCCTAGATATTCTAGACATACAGATTTCGAGGAGGGGTACAAAGAGAGCCACGGTGCTATATGGGGGTCCCAACTCTGTATGTACATCTTCAGTTGAGAGGGGATTCATGCTTCATAGCGAATGCGGGCCGACAAAGCAGTAGAACGAAATGTAATGCAATTCAATGAATTTTAACAAGAGGTATCCTTTTTTGCGGATTTTTTGGCCTACAAAAATCTCTTTACTTCTTTTATGTACAATCAATTAAAAATTATATGATTAACATAAAGTATGTATGTGTTAGAACATGTTTATATAAGTCTTTTTTTTTACAAAGAAGCGTTTCCGAGATTTTTAATAAGATTTATTAGTAAGGCTGATTAATCCAACGAAATCTCCCTTCTGTAATTATCGGTTAAATTTGTCTGAACGAGTATAATGAGAGCGAGCATCATTGGCGAACGTAAGCGCTCATATATAACCGGTCAGTGTCCGATGACATGCGACGTACAACCGGTAATGACTTTCTCGTTAATTATTATCGGGGTCTTTTAAACGATCGCAACCGCAAGGGAGAATGGACTTTCTCGTTACATTGTTTGTCTCGAAGAAAGCAATATTACTTCTACGAGTGTTAAAACAATTTTCTCAAGAAACTTTTTATCTTCAACTTCTTGGGATAATAAATAAATACCTATTATCCCATGAAGTGTAATCGTAACCTCGAGAACAGTCTACAACTTGTTGAGCAACGTAATCAACGATACTCGCTTCAGTCATGTGCGAATGAATTAACGCCGATGTCTCGCGGTGCAAATCGCATACAAAAAATGTAGGTTCTCCGACCCCATCTCCGTTCCCAGATCTCGCGACGAGGAGGAGACGGAGAAATGCCTTTCTCATCTGATATCGGCGCGGCGCGGCGCGTCTCACGACGCAGCAACACGGAAAAGCGCGGTTTCGTAATTCACGTGAGAACAATTTCGCCTGTACCAGGTTCGCGTTCACCACCTGCGGAGTCTCACTCCGACTTTCTTCCTCAGGGTTACTGTCGCTCCTGCGAAAAGCATGCAACGTGACTGCCTTTCACTGACGGCATGTTCCTCCAAACCAGGAGATGCGCCAGTTGCGTCGACGTGAGACGATCAGGAAGCAAAACCGCGATTATCCGGTACAGGGTGTTCTGTAATCGATGATATGACCGTTGTATGAACGATTGTGTAAACAGGTGATAATTTCACATAAAAGAACAAATCAAAAGCGTATAAGGAAATTCTTCTAATTGTGAGAAAGTCAATTAATGAAATAAGGAAAATTAAATTAGAAAATAGTCAAACTGATAGAAATATTCATTTCTCTTCTTGTACATACAATTGTTTCGTGAGGCTAATTTTAATTTGGAAGCCCGCACGCAAGGCAAAAATCCTCGATTTTTTTTTCCTCCCCCCCCCCCTCCCCCCGTCATGCAGGAGAGACACGACGAAACGAGAAACTGTGAGAGTCGTTACCCGGGCCGCACGACGGAATTACTTTGACTTTCTTCCGATACGATGTCAGTGGCAGCTGTCTTTTCGACTTTTTTTGTCTTCAAGAAGATAATCGATTCGGTTACTTTCACTGTGTCTCGAGAATACGCGGTAGACCGTACGATTGGGACGAGTCTTAAGTGTGTTGTCCAATTTGTTTAAAGCCCGTTAAAATACATAGAGCTGATGATAAGCGAACATAAATATTGAATGGTAATTCCTCGTCAAATACGGCAGCTTGAATTCCAGATACATCAATTCTCTTCGAGAGAGAACTCTCCGTGGAACTATAAAGAGAAAGAAAAATGCGCCAAGTATACAAAAAGCCTCTGATTTAATTGGCATTTATTAAATGACAAATCGGAGATTACTTTCCGTACATTTTTGCGGCACATTATTGCAAGGAAAATTTACAAAGCCGGCGTCACGGTACGTCCGCTTTCTTTCCGCATTTATACACACTAGTAATCATTGCAAGCCATTTGCACGGTAGTAAGGATAATTTAAGGTTGAATTCATTACGGATGAGGTAGCAGCCGACTTATATTAATTGAGATTTACTTCGAGACCATCTTCGCGAAGTGATTTTCGCCGACGAAGAGGTCGATGTTCTTCGAGATCGCATCAAAGATTTCACCTCTTCGCTGCTCGCAAAGTCTCCGCTCGTTCTGTATGTATATAAAAACGTAAAATATTACGTGGACATTGACACATCGTCATCGCGTATAATTTATTAGTATTAGATTCGAGTATAATTTATCAATACTAGAATCCACGCGTTCTTCCTTACGCGGCAACGAAGAAAAGTCCGTGTCGTATTCTGTATTATAATAAAAATAAAAAAATATATTCTCCCACCAGGAAGTACAACTTAGGTACTTTGCCTCATTCGAAATCCATTAACGGTTTTCCTGCGGGCGATTCTGCTGGCACGTTACACAACTCGATCGTCCGCATCGTTACGTACAAACGTTTCGCGTTATTCGATGCAGATATTATATATAGCATGTTGTATTGAATTGTCGATTGCACGCAAACTCGGGCTAGATCGAGACTTTCAGGCTTTCCTGACCAGCGGCCGATTGCCGCAATTCTTCAGGGTACATAGGTCTTGACGGTAATCGTGAAGTGACTTCATAATTGCGCTCGCGTATCACACCTTTCTGATGCCAACGAGTCGCAATCGCGTTATGTCAAAAGGAAAGTTACACAGGCTGTAACGAAAGGGCGATATTATCGCCATCCAACCGTGGTCCAATGAGGTCGCATTAACGATTGTCTTACATTAAGATTTTCCGGGCGATAAAACAAGATATAACCGCGTTAATTGCGACCATTTCTCTGATCATAATGATGGAGGAAGAAGAGTTCTCCTCTTCCGGTGATTCGCGACGTCGTACATTTCGCGTACTCACCCATGCGTGAAACATGGCTAATATTTAGCCTCATCTAGGAAGACTATAATATAGGAAGATATATTATATATTGTATATATGAGCCGTTTATTTTGAAAGTGACCTAAGTCCATTTAAAAAAAAAATGTTGTTTATGACAGCTAACTTCAAGTTGTACACGCTACTACAAAGGTCAACAACAAAACATTGAAAAATGGACTTAGGCCACTTTCAAAATAAACGGCTTATATAATTTACATATATTATACTGTATATATAATATATGCAGGGTGTCTCAACTCACGATAAGTATTCTAAAGATCTCTTTGTAACATTTTAAGACAAAAAGTCTAATACAAAAATGCCAAGGCTATGACAGTTTCCTCGAACTTTATGCCAACTATTTGATAATAATAAAAGTCCCTTCACACTCATCATCTTATCATCCCTGAACGAAATTCTAGCCCTGTCATTTGTAATTTTCAAGTTCTTTCCATGTGTGTGTGTGTGAAATTATCATAGCATTTTTGTATTGAAACTTTTTGTCTTAAAATATTACAAAGAATCTATCTTAAAAATATTTATTGCCAGTTTTGTGACATTCTGTATATATAATAACATATATTTAACATAATGTATATTTGTACGTATATATAAGACAGCTTTGCGACTTTCGCGCCGCGAGGACTCCATCCCGTTCTCAAATCGCAAAACAGACACGTCCAACAGACTGCCGCACTGTACGAGCATACGTATTTCTGGCGAATTTTAATAGTTTGTTTATTCTCACAAGTCGGATACAGATTGAGCCGGAACGTATCTTCGCGAAACGCGCACGCCTTCCGGTACGCCGCGAGATGAGACGCGCGAGGCCACTAGCTGCAAACAGAGCCGTCTGATGGGACAAGCGGAACGACACGGTGCATTAATTAACGTTATCTCCTATTAATTTGTATAATGGAAGCTATGAGCGTTTCCCGTAACGATCTGCCGACATTGAGGACCAAGCTTCTTCCGGAGGAATGAACGATTGTTGATCGAGCCATTGATCGAGCTTCTCATTACCGTCTCTCTCTCTCTCTCTCTCTCTC